CCAGTGATGGGAAGAAGGTTCCTTCATTTTTCTCCACTTTTAACAAAGCTAGTTCTTAAATTTGTTTGTGATCCAAGTCTTAGACTAAATTTCTGTACATATTTTTAAACAGGAAAATGATGTTCAAGGTATCACTTATTAGCCTTTGCCTTCTGTCGGTTGGTAACACTTTGGAGACATTAACTACCTCAAGTTCCATGGAAGTCTCGAATTCCATGATGAGTTTGAATTCTGAGGCAACCACAAATTTTCAAATGACCTCAAAACTCAAGAGAAGCCCAAATACTGAGACAGACCCGAATATCAAGACAACTTCAAATTTCCAAATGTCTCTGAATCCCATGATGAGCCCAAATTCTAAGAAAAACCCGAATTCCAAGACAACCTCAAAGCCCAAGACAACCTCAAAGCCCAAGACAACTCTGAAAACATCAGTGACCTCAAAGATACCCACCACCATGAAGATGACGACTGTGAAAAGTGGTGGCACCACACTGAATCCAAAGGACAATATACACTTTCTCTTCTATGTAATATTTTTGCTGTTTTGTGTGCAATGAAGCTTAAGTGGACTTGAACTGTCTGCATTTCTATTCAGTTCTTTATTATCTGCACAGTAGGAAAATCAAATTTATTTCAACTTCCTTCTAGGAAATTATCATTATCCCAGCTTAATTTAGTTGTTTGCAAATTTTAATTGTGTAAGCTTAATTATTACTTTAATATAGCTTCCTTCCTTATAAATGCTTTTAAAAAGCACAAAATACCAATGTTTGCAAAACTGAACTGAAAATTAGATCTTTGCATTAAAGGCATAAGAGAAGAAATGATGTTGGTGTTTAACCAAAGTATGCTTCTGTGTAGGTGAGAGGAAAGGAGGTAGGGGATGAAGAGTAATGTGTATTGTTCTTATATTATTTTATTTTTTCAGTGCTCTATGAAACAATACACCTGTGTCACTATATTTCATGAATGTATAATAGCAATATGTTATTACAATAAAAATGATGGTTATTCTGCTAATCTTTGTAATGTATTACGTCAGCTGCTCCAATGAAAAGATTCTCTTGCTTTGGGTAAACCTTTGTTTTGTATTTCAAAAGGTCATTTGTAAATCAGATGCCTAGAATTCAGAATTCATGCTATTCTACTAAGGTTAATCTAACCCCCAAATCTAGTATTGAATTTTAAGTGATAATAACCACCCTATTAACAGTGTAGTTTTAAAGGTTTGAAACCCAACTCTGATTCTTTACTAGTTGTGCTACCATGAGTTAAATACATAAACCGGTGGGATTCCCAAACGAACTTCGGTAATAAACTGATTACAAATGAATCACTTGGGGTGCCTGTTCAAATATACAGATTAGGCTCTACCTTTGATATTTTGATTTGGCAACCCGAAGTAGGGCCAGGGAAATGTTTGTTTGTTTGAATTCTCCTAGGCATTCTGATAGCTAGGTTTGGGAATGACTAGCAACTGCTCTAAGTTTCAGTTTATATACATGTCAATCACTGTTACTAACAATACCTCAGAAAGTTACTGTAAGGGCTAAATGAAAAATTATATAATATGCATGGTTTGTCTGATGCAGAGAGAGAGCACTCAGTAAATGTTAGCTATGATTATTACTACCACCACCCAAGAAGCAATTGCCAGGCATTTCAGTGCTCAAGAGGAAGACTCTTCACTGTAACTTTTAAGTTTTATATTTTTAACTAGAGGCCTGATGCATGAAATTCATGCAAGAGTAGGCCTTCTTTCCCCCGGCTGCCGGCACTGCCTTCCTTCTGGCACCCAGGACCCGGGCTTCCCTCTGGCTGCCAGCAGGCACCCGGGACCCTGGCTTCCCTTGCAGCCCCGGCTTCATCCAGAAGGTCGTCCAGAAGGACATCTGGTCTAATTAGCATATTACACTTTTATTATTATAGATTATTCTTACAAAATAATATGTGCTCTTGGCAACAAGTCTAACAGTACAGAGATATATAACAGAAATATTATAAATGGTTCTCTTCCTCCTCCAAACAGACTCCCCTGAGATAATGTGAGCATTATTTAATATTATTGCTCAGTCTATACATATTACACACACACATACACACACACACTACTCTGCACCCTGTATGTGTCAGAATCGTGCTTCTGCGTCATTAGAGGACTTCTGTTACTTTTGCCAGCATAGAACCCATTTTTCCTCATTCTGGTATCGGCAATCCAACTTTCCTATGGGAAACCCTGCTCCGTAATCTTCTCTTTTCAGTTCATGCAATTTGAGTAGGACTAGCTTCACCACTGAAGCTGAAAGGATACATAAAGAGGAAAGGCATGATGCAGAGTTGAATGTGAAGTCAAGAGAGAGTCAAAGAGCATGACGGACAGCCAGTTTTGCCTCCACCTGGGCAGAATCTGCGCCCCCACCCCCACTTTTCCCCCCCAGAATCTACTTTAATGCATGTGTTTCCTGAGGCCTATCATCTCAAGAGAATGGCTTCTTTGCAATAGTAAAGGCCTAACTAAAACAACTTAATTGATTTGTCACAATCTCATTTCTAAAATTAAAATGTAGTAACTGATAGTGAGGAAGATAAAAGAAAGAGGGAAGCATTTTACATGACTAGGGTTCTAGAATGGGAAGAGATGGGGATGTTATTGAGAAAGAGAATATGGTGTGAAGAAGTTGATTTAAATATACAGTGAATTAAGTTTTGGACATTAGAAGTCTGAAATGTCTGTGGACTATCTGTAAGGACACTGAAATCCACAGCTCAAAAGACTAATACATGGTAGTCTAAGTCACAGAATCATAGCAATAGCAAAAGAGAACCCAAGTATTCTCTGACAAGTTGGCTGTACAGAGACAAGGCCCTCACTACAATGTGGCCTTGTCCAGTGGAGGAACTGGGCTCTCTGCTCTGAGCCACTGTGTGCTCTTCTGTCCTGGAGCAAGGGCTCCCCACCAGGTGAAAATGAGGCCAGGAAGAGCTCTAGATCTAAGGAAAAAAATGAAAGGATTGAAATCTAAAATTGGCAGCAGATTCATAGTTTCCTGTCTGCCTCTCCCATGAAGTTTTTGTGACCTATAAAATTCTGTACAGAGTATATTTGAGGTTTTCTTTGATTTTTCTTATTTTTTGTTTGTTTTTCAATATGACTCTGCTGCCTATGATTATACAGCTAATAAGCAGTACAGCTGGGAATCCTCAGCACCCTCAAGTCACATTAGATAGGTTTCCTGGAAATCCCACTGGTTTAACCCCAGAGGGTATATGCATCAGGCCCATCCTATCTTCATTTGGCCTTTCCAGATCATTATAGAGAAGGGACACAATCTTACAATATCTGATCCTGAAGAAAATACCTTGTTTTGAGGTTTCTGAGAAACCTTGCTATACTTATAAACTAGTAAGAGAGAGGAGGACACACATCTATTTACCTCTCATACCAATGTTTTACTTTTCATTATTTAGGCAAATTAGGGAAAGTCAAAATACACTACTCGTATTAAAGATTAGGTTAGAATATAAATATGGTTCATCTTAATTATAAAAAAAAATAAATTATCTTAAACAGTTTAGACACAGCAACTGAGATGAAGTTGGAGAGAAGACTTTCATGGGAAGGTGAAGAGTTGTTATTCAGAGTTGTTAAAGAGGCAAGCTAAGGATAAATGCAAGTTTCTATACTTTCTTGATACCCTAACAACCCAGTTCTTGGGACTTCTTGGTCTTAACACTATTTGAATTATCTGATGAAGTGAGTTTCCGATCTTCTACCTTCCTGTCTTCACTCTTTTCCCATTATTTCTCAAGCTCCATTTGTTTTTTACACACTGCCAAGTTTTTGCCACCCATGGCTATCGAGTCTACTGACATATTCTTCAACTTATGTTAAATTCAGGAACTCAGAGTAATTCCTATAGCAAGCGAATAGCAAAATTAAGACTAAAGTCCTTGAGATTCCAAAGCCGATGGTCTCTCTATTACATCACATTGTCTCTAAGGTTCAATTAATCATGAGTTTATGTCATGCTAAATGGGAAAAAGTAAAACTGACCAAATAATGTCACAGATGAGTTCTCAAAAGACAGAATGAAGCAGAAAGAAAAAACAAGGGAAGAGGAAGCAATGCAAGCATCACACCTATTGTTAAGGAGTTCACATCATTTCCATAAAAGCTTTCTCGGAACTAGCTTTAATTGAAGACAGCATAAATAAACAATCAATTTTCCAAGCTGTCACCTATGCTGTCTTTAGAGAAATTTCCCACAGCTTCTCTGAATTATTTGTTAAATCACACCGATGCTGTCTTATTTAGCATATTACTAAAAATTCTCAGAAAGACACTTAAAAATTCATTTCTGCTTTAAAAAAAAGTCAGATTATCATGTTGTGGATATTGTTTACTCAGAATACACCTGAAAACATAAGATTCTTTATGAATTTTTTACTCTTGGTAATGACTCCACTGTAGGTAGTATAAAAAAATTGATGTAGAGCCCAGGTGGTGTGGCTCAGTGGTTGAACCAGGAGTTCACGATTGGATTCCGGTCAGGGCACATGCCTGGGTTATGGGCTCGATCCCCAGTAAGGGGTGTGCATGGGTTGTGGGCTCGATCCCCAGTAAGGGGTGTGCATGGGTTGTGGGCTCGATCCCCAGTAAGGGGTGTGTAGAAGGCAGCCGATTAATGATTATCTCTCATCATTGATGTTTCTATCGCTCTCCCTCTCCTTTCCTCTCTGAAATCAATAAAAACATTTTTTTTAAACTGATGTAGGAAAAAGAAGCCAATATAAAATAGGTAGTATAAAAAGCAATTTCTAATACATTGAGCATCATTTTGGGGCAGGTTGGCTATTTACCCAGCTATATTCTCCCAGGTAAACTTGTTTTCAATTCTAGTAAAGTCAAATGGGAAAAACCAAACTTGCTGTCTCTCTACATTTGCTATCATTTTTAAAAATTCTGTTAAGAGAAACTACAATGTAGTATTTCTTACCTTCGTGCAACATAATAAAATATAGGATTCCCAGCTTTGGAAGTCCCAGCTTGGTAGAAAATATTTAATGTTTTCAAAGCCTTGAACTCCTCTTTTTCATGTACTTGATGCCTGCAAGAAAAAAAAAAAGGAAAAGAGTGAGTCATAGGCTTTATATTGTCCATTGAGTACTTAGGAAAATCTACAATCAGACCAATGATAAAATATGCAAAATGACAAAATATTAAGAGAAGTAGATAGGTGTCTTTCTCCCTCTCTCTGAAGGGCAACTTAACAACATGTACCAAAATTTTCAAGGTGTCACTCTTTGAACAACAAAGAGTAGTTCTTAGGACTACCCTAAGAAAACTAGTGGACAAGGATATCTACCATACAATTGTTTATTTTTTTTTTCCAGAAAGAAGCTTTTGAGTATTAATTTATTGATTTTTAAGAGTTCAGTTTATCAACTCTTTTCTGGTTTATTGATTTTGAATGAGTGAGAAAGGCCTTCCTTTGCCCATATTTTCTTCTTCATGGGAGTTGATTCTCACGACTCATATAAGCATCTTTTTCCAGATAGTTACTCAGTTGTATCACCACCATTTATTAACAGTCCATTCTAATCTGCCTGATTCTGAATACCATTTTTATCATATATTAAATTCCCATGTGGATTTATTTCTGAAAAAATCATGATTTATTTTTTATTTATTCTGCTGAACACTCAGTGTCTTTAACCTGCAATTTATGTCATTCACTAACCTTGGAAAATTCTCATCTGTTGTCTCTTCAAATATTACCTCTTCACTATTCTCTCTAAGCTCTATTTCTGAAACACCAACTAGACACATTGGACCTTCCTATTCTATCACCTAACCTCTGTTAACTTCTTTCATATTTTCCATTTCATTATGTTTCTGCCCTGACTGGATGCTAGTTCATTTGCTCAGAAATTATCTTCCAGAAAATAAAATAATAACTTATTTTAAAAATATATTTTCTTATACCTAATATTTCTATGTGTCTTGTATCTGGGGCATGAGAGAGAGGGGAAGTTATATTATCTCATTCCACAATGTTGCTGGTACCAGGTTAACATTTGTTTAATATTAATGGAAACAACCTAGATATCATTTGATAAGGGCAATAGGTACACATGTGTATAAATGACTGGGAGACTACAGTGGGGCCTTGACTTATGAGTGTCACGACTAACGAGTTTTTTGAGATAACAGCTGTCTCTCCGCCAATTCTTTGCATTGAGTTGATAGAGTAATTTGAGTTAATGAGCTCCTTAACGAGCTCGGTCTCGGAATGAATTAAACTCGTAAGTCAAGGCCCCACTGTATTTGCCAAATGTTAACTGAATTATCTCTAAGAGGCAAAGCAACAAAAATTTTTAACTTTTTTCTTTAGATTTGTTTTAAATAATTTAATAATTTTTATTTTTATAGTTGAGAAAATTATAAAGCTACCCTCATTTAAAAAAAAGAAAAATGGGTCTTAAAGAGCATTAATGGGAACTTAGAAGAGAGCAATAATAACTAACATTTATTAAAGTATTTTATATCTAGTATATCAGACACTGTTCTAAATATCTTACATAAATCATTTAGTCATCAAAAGCACAGAAGATTGTTTGTAATGGAAGGTAGGGTCTTAAGTAAAAGGAGTAATGACGTTTCCTTAGACAAATAGCTAGGACATCCTAAGAAATACTGAATAAAAAAAATAGGTTTATATTTTCACATTATGTAATTTTCAATAAGGCAATATGAAAGCTTTGTGTGGAAAATATTCATTTTAATTAATAGGAATAAATATTTGTTACACTGAGAACAATATAACAGAGCTAAACATAACATTAAGCTAGAAAGGAGATTGTTATGAATTCATTCATTTTTCAACAATATCAAATAATTGAAGTTATGTGTACAGAAAGAACTATGACCTATAGTAACTCCCCCTTATTCCTAGGGTACACGTTCCAAGACCCTCAGTGGATGCCTGAAAACACAAATAGTACCAAACCCTATATATACATTATTGTTTCTTCCTATACACACATACCTATAATAAAGTTGTTTATAAATTAGGCACAGTATGAGAAAAACAACAATAAGTAATAATAAAATAGAACAATTATAATGATATCTACACTAATAAAAGAGAAAAATGGTAATTGGCGTACGACGCTACCCTTTTCATTGGCTAATCAGGGCTATATGCAAATTAACTGCCAACTAAGATGGCAGTTAACTGCCAACAAAGATGGCGGTTAATTTGCATATGTAGGCACAATGCAGGGAGGCGAAAGGGAAAGCAGGAAGAAGCCCGCTGCCACTGATAGTGATCGGAAACCCAGGGGGGAGCTAAGAGCTGGTGGGTAGGGCAAAGGCGGCCCTGGGGCCGCCTTTGCCCTGCCCCCTAGCCATGATCGGAGAATCAGGCGCCTTTGCCGCCCTGGCCAGTGATAGCAGGAAGTAGGGGTGGAGCCAGCGATGGGAGCTGGGCACGGTCGAAGCTGGCAGTCCCGGGAGCTAGGGGTCCCTTGCCTGGGCCTAAAGCGGAGCCCACGATCGCGGGGCCGCTGCAGCTGCGGGTCCCCGCTGCCCGGGCCGGACGCCTAGGCCAGAGGCGTTAGGCCTGGGCAGGGGCGGAGCCTGCAACCGCGGGGAGCTGGGGGGTCCCCTGCCCAGGCCTAATGCTTCGGCCAGAGGCGTTAGGCCTGGGCAGGGGCAGAGCGAGAGATCGCGGCGCTGCTGCCGCTGCGGGTCCCCGCTGCCCGGGCCGGACGCCTCGGCCAGAGGCGTTAGGCCTGGGCAGGGGCAGAGCAGGAGATCGCAGGGAGCTGGGAGTCCCCTGCCCAGGACTAATGTCTTGGCCAGAGGCGTTAGGCCTGGGCAGGGCGGAGCCTGCAACCGCGGGGAGCTGGGAGTCCCCTGCCCAGGACTAATATCTTGGCCAGAGGCGTTAGGCCTGGGCAGGGGCAGAGCCTGTAACCGCGGGACCCCCAGCCATGATCGGAGGCCTCCCTCTGCCTGAGGCCTCAGGCCTGGTCAAGGGGCCGATCTGGTGATTGGTGATCGGAGGGTGATGAGGGTCAACTCCTCTGGCCGAGGCATCAGGCCTGGGCGGGGGGGTCCCCTGCCCAGGCCTGATGCCTGGGCCAGAGGCATCAGGCCTGGGTGGGGGGCGGAGCCAGGGATTGGTGGGATATGATGGTCCCCTTGCCCAGGCCTGAAGCCTGGGTCAGAGGCGTCAGGCTTGGGCGGGGGGTGGAGCAAGCAATCAGAGGGAGATGGGAGTCCCCTGCCCAGGCATGATTCCTGGGCCAGAGGCCTCAGGCCTGGGCGGGGGTCAGAGCCAGTGATCGGGGAGAGATGGGAGTCCCCTGTCCAAGCCTGACACCTCTGGCGGAGGCGTCAGGCCTGGGCAAGGGGTCGATCAGGCGATCGGAGGGTGATGGGGGTCTACGCCTCTGGCCTAGGCATCAGGCCTGGGCAAGGGGCAGAGCCAGCAATCGGAGGGGTCTGGGGGTGCCCTGCCCAGGCCTGACACCTGGGCCAGAGGCATCAGGCCTGGGCAAGGGGCCAATCCTGCAATTGGAGGGTGATGGGGGTCAACGCCTGAGGGCTCCCAGTATGTGAGAGGGGGCAGGCTGGGCTGAGGGACACCCCCCCCCACACCCAGTGCACGATTTTCGTGCACCGGGCCCCTAGTATTGTAATAAAACCTATGTGAATGGCTTTGTGTTCATTATTAAGTAAAATCAGGGTACCTGACTATGAGTACTGCAATAGTTTATCTGATGACCAAGACAGATACTAAGTGACCTACAGGTAGGCAGCATACACAGCGTGGATGTACTAGACAAAGGGGTGATGCACATCCCAGGAAGGACAGAGCAGGACAGCACGAGATTTCATCCCACTACTCAGAACAGCACATAATTTAAAATTTATGAATTATTTATTTCAGGAATTTTTCATTTAGTACTTTCAGACTACATTTGACCATAAGTAACCGAAACTGTGGAAAGCTAAACTGTGGACAAGGGAGAATTACTGTGTATGTAATATGATTAATAACAGACACTTACAATGCAAGGCACATTATATGTAAAATCTTATAGCAATATTGAAGTATACTAATTTTCTGAGCCTCAATTTAAATACCATTAACTTTTAGGAGGGTTCTGAAAAATGTTGCAGTGTGGTATAAAGAGTTCAGCACTTAGAACCAAAGGACCAAAGAATCAGATGTGGAATCTTGGGCAAATTAGTTGTTTATTTTGAGCTATTTTTTTTTTAATATTTCAATTACAGTTACATTCAATATTATTCTATCTTAGTTTCAGGTGTATAGTATAGTGATTAGATAATCATATACTTTACAAAGTGGTTCCCCAAATATTTCAAGTACCCACCTGACCCCATAAATAGTTACTACAATATTATTGTATTTTCTTTAACTATAATATGAAAATAATGTTATCCAGACTCTTTTATAAGTATTAATGCACAACACCTCAAAGCAACATGACAAAGTACCATGCAAGAAGATACTATTATTTTTGTAAGAAAATCAAAACAAAGCATATTTCAACAATATAAAAGGTAAGAAAAAAGTTAAATCCCAAAACATGGCAATGTAGTTATTGGGTACATCTTTCCTGATAATTCTCTATCAAAAATATAAGCATATTGAACAGCTGGCCTTGAAGTAAACCTTGCACCTCAACCAAAAAGAAAGAAATCAAGGTGATACTTTACCTAGTCATAAATTCCTCAAACTTGGAACTGGTAAGATTAAGGCTGGACCAGTGTGTATCTGCCACAGGTTTGTGCTCTGGAGGACCCAGGTATGCAAGCAGTGTTGCCATCTTATCAAAAGGTCGTCTTCCAACAGCTTTGTGATCCCTAGATATAACAAACTGCTTAGAAAAATGGAGCAGTTCACATTTAGCAGTACATATTTCTTTAGAGTGTCATTCATTGCCTTTTCTTCCACTGTCAGCTGGGGGTTTCTACTGATTTGTGAATGGCACCAAAAAGATGTCAGGGGTTATAAGTTATACACCGAGACTTCTCAGAAATAGGACCACTCCCAAACTATAAAATTTACATATTTCTTATTTTTCTAGTATTCTTAACCTATTACCATAAGTGGGCAATTAGTAAGTAAAAGTAACCTTCTGATCCACTTTTTCTCAGGATAAAAATAATCCATGTTATCCCTAATATCATATTTCTGCTTAACCAGGGTAAATATGGATTTTCAATAACTATTAAATACTTAAATCTATATAAGAATAACAAGATACGATTTCACAAACATCAAACTGGTAAAAAAAAAAAAATGAAATCTGCTAATGCCAAACGTTGGTGAGAATGTGTATAAAGAGGTGCTCTCATACAGTGCTGGCAAAAGTGTGGATTAGCATGTACACTTTGAAAAGCAATGTGGTGGTATCTAGTAAATTTGAGACTGTATACCCCAAAATGCTGCAATTACACATCTAGCTAATACACAAGGAAACAAGTATGGAATTCTTTATTACAACACTATTTAAAACAGTGAAAAACAGGAAACAAACATAAATATCCATCAACTAGGAAATGCAAAAAATAAATTGATATAGTCAGTCAATGAAATATTAACATAAGTTAAATAAGACACATCAAATAGAATGTCGTGTGAAGAGACTATATTCAGTGTTTCTATAAAATTTGAAAACCCATAAAAATTTTTATATTTATGACATATGTACCTATCATTTCTTTATTTTGTCAGTTATATAGAAAGAAATATCTTTTTCCCCCAAGAAATAAAATATAAAGATCTAAAGTAATACAGCAAAATGAGTGTTAAAGCTAAGTGTAGACATGGATTTCTGTTGTAGTATGTTCTATACTTCTTTTGTATCTGCTCCTCCGATACCAATACTCATTGATCTTCCAGTAAATTTAAACTTCTGTCTCAAAGCACATTATGTGTGATAGTTTGCAAACCACAAAACCCAAAGGGCTAATTTGTTGTTTCTTAGCTTAACATTTTTTAAAAAAAACCTCTGTAGCTTATTGATCATTTAACATGACTTACTCTTTTGCCTAGATATTTTTAGAAAGTGTCTACATTTCTTTTTCCAAACCATAATTCTAATTCTAAGATGATGCAAAGTAAAAAGCGTTATTCATGACCAATAATTTTATTAATATAAATTTAAATATACTATAGACTTAAAGAGAATTTTCAATATGCCCATGATTGGGAAATCTTACCTGTTGCTGGAAAGATACTGGCCAATTTTCTCTTGATTGTTCCAGAGTAGACGATGTAAAGCAAGCACATTGCCATCACTGATGAAGGAAAGACTATGATTTACTGCATCACTTGTAGGGCAATCAGATGCTATATCAAGGAAAAACCTTCAAAAATACAAAATCATTAGAATTTTAAAAACCAGATACACTCATATCTATATCTGAATTAAATTTATATAATGCAACTTTATGAAGTAACTGAGACTACAAATACTGAGGGCTTATTCACACATGACTGTCATTACACGAGAAAAGGGACAATGAGAAATTTGGTTTTCTATTTCTGATCCCTGCCTACAGCGTCACAGTAGGCTCTGAAGTCAGACAAAAACAAAGTTTAGATGGATGAGGCTTTGGAGAGAAGCCAGTAACTTACAGATAAGGAAATGGAGGCCCAGACCAGACAAAAGACCTCTCCCAAATCATATCACCTGTTAGGCCACAGCCAGGCTCAGGGCCTTGGCTCTCAACTTTCTATGAACAATCTGCTAGCTATGAATCCTGGACTGACCTTCACTTTTTCCCCAATATAGTTTGCAGTCAAACAATATACCTTTTAAACTCTAATTAGAAAGAAGTTGGTATAAAGTATAATGGAAAAATTGGAAGAGAGTTACACAGTCGAGCTTAAACTGTGCATCAGATAACTAGAGCTGCAGGAAAGGTAGAATTCTGGACATTAACTTGCATTTATAAAGCCTTTTCTCATAAACTATCTCATTTGTTTCTCTAAAATCAACTCAGACAGGCAAATAAAATATAATCCCTAGTTTCAGATAAAACAACAACTCAGAGATAAACAGAAAGCAACTATTTAGTTATGGAAATCTAAAAGACCTCATGTTTTCTAAAATCATAAAAGTTCAACAGTTGTCCAGTTACTTATGAACAAAATTGTATACATCTGCATTATTTGGTTGAAAGAGTAACGTTTTAGTTCAGATACACTTTCAAGTTGAAGTATCAAAAATATTCTAACATCAAAAAATTGTGACTTTACAGTTATGCATTATCTATATGAACCATTTTGATTTCAGTTGTTTTTGTGTGTGTGTGTGTGTGTGTGTGTGTGTGTGTTTTCACTAAAAGGAATCTTTTCCTTCTTCCTCTGCTCCATAATATAGTACCCTTAAATCTTTTATTTTAGTAATATTTCAAAAATCTGTTCAGGTTTTGAAATATGGAAATCACTACCAAATTATAAAGAATATGGATTTATTCATCGCTGTCTTTTATAGCAAAATAAGATTAACTATGTTCTGGACCTACAGAGGGAAAAGAAAAAACCCTACACAAGTATACGGACTGATGTGAAACTGAAAATATTTGATTCAAACAGAAACAACTAAGTAGCAGGCTGCTTACCTTCGTGCTGCATCAAAGTTGCTTTTCACAAAATCATTAAAAGGCCGCATATGCTCTTCTTTTGTGAAGAGAACATGATTGGCAATACTCTGAAGTATCTAAACAATGAAACAACGTAATGAAGAGTCAGATTATTTATTGAATGAAGTCTACACATTTGTATGTTCATTAAAAAACATGAATTTTGTTTGTCATCGATATAATTTCTACTGGTGGTTAAAAATCAATTATTCCTCATTCTATAAATACTAGTTGTTCCTATTCTTCCCAAATATAATTATTATATATGCATGCAAATATTTACATACATAAAAATGAATATTAAAAATTTTAATGTATTTTTTAACAAAAAAAATCATACAGTACACATTTTGGTCTCCATTTCAGAATTTCCAATATGACTATGTGGAAAATACTTTCTAAAATATTTTCTCTTGATAATAACACCCAGGTACCAGTCTAATGAATTCCTTTGTAATATAGACAAAAATAAAAAAAAGCAAAGAAGTGAAAACTATAGGGTGTTTCGAACATAAACTTAAGAGGAAGCACAGTGAATATGAAACTCTAAAATTTTAGTTGAAAGAGAAATTTAAAACAGATTATCAAAATAATTCTTCACCTTTGACATTAACTTCAAGCCCCTTTCGATTCTAGGCGGTGGCTTTTTATCTAAAATGCCTGCTTCATATGGTGAGACAATGGCAGGATTGATAAATCTGAGGAACATGGCACTTCCTACTGCACCGATGCTGTTCTGAGGGAAACGTTGGCTAACCACCTAAAAACAAGGAGTTGAGAATTGAATATGTGGTTTGAATTAAAACAAGGAAATGGGAAAAAAGAACTCAAAGGTCAAACTTTAAACAACTAATTTCCTTATGAAGAATGCATTTCTATTTTTTCCTATTCCCCAAACATCAGTAAATAAAGCCTATCCTTAATTCTTTTTTTTTCCATCCTTAATTATTGCCTTCATTTTAAAACATAATAAAGATATCTAAGAAAAAAAAGAAAAATCTCATAAGTGAGTTGTGTAGAAGAGACCTGAAAAAAAGGCCTTAATTTTTTTGTTTATAATGCAGGTTTGAAGAGTAACAAAAGCAGACCAAATTTTCACCAAGATTAATAAGACATGATAGTATGGTCAACTCTTAAGACATGGTTAAGTTTTCAACAGCACACCCCTTAAACATCTAATACCTAATAGTAAATACTTACGTTTTGTTGTGTACCAGGTATAATTAAATTTCTTGAGCAAAATGCTTTCCATGTACAAAACAAAACTTAATTTTCTTAGATTCCTATCGAGAGAAAAAACTTACTTACAAGTAACATTATTGCCAGTTCCTTTCTTCATCAGAATGCTTTACAATAGAAGGACCTATCTATTATTTAAACTATGGAAGAATGGGAATTCTTGGGATATATAAAAAAAGAAGGATACCACCAGCAGAAAAGAGAACCCCTACGTGTACCTCAACTTATAATTCTGTCAAAAAAAATATATATATAAAGTTAAGGGTTCAAGAAATGGTTGGCCACACTGGAAAGCAATGTGAGCCCAATATTTTAAATGAATTTATTTTCTCTTTATAAACATTCTACTTTGAAGGTAAAGTAATAGATTAGAGCCAGTTTTATAAAACTGGCTCAGCTCCAATAATTGGAAATTTACATTTTTTTTTTTTTTACAGATACAACCTTTCTTGCTTAGTATGGCTAGCTGCTGCTTAAAGCAAAGCCACTATAATGGCAAAGCCACATCATTCCATTCAGCATTCTGGGATTCCAGGGGCGAAGCTGCATTTCAAAGGATACTGGGGGAAACGAGAAAAGGGATTTATGTGCAGAATCTCACATAACTCTGATGTTCTTCACAATGCCTCAATGAAGTAATACATCTTCTCATGAATTCACATGGCTCACTGAATCCAGATTAACTCTGGACAGAATAAGGGCGATTTCATTTCATTCTACTCCCTTTAGTGCTTCAGTGGTATACATTCTAAATGTGTTTTTACTCACTGCCTAAAATCTCAAAATACTTTTCTATCATATCTGATCAGGAATTACTAAAAATAGAAAATGATATTTTAAGCCAAAGAAAATCTTTGTTAAGAGGTGATAACAGAGGTGAGTTATAATGAATTCTCTCCTTCATTTATGGTATGTATCTTAGAAAGCTTTTCTTGTGTTAGAGTACTTGGAGTGACATTGCATGAAGAACCTTACACTTAAATAAGGGGAAACTGGTGAAAGCAGCTAAATATAACAGCCTTAGTAGAATGGCTTTCAAACCGAAATACTGTTTTAGAGTTATTTTTAGCTGAAATACAGTTTTAGAAGTAGAAGAAGAATATTCAAGTGCTTTCACACTCTAGTACAGTGTTTAACCATTGAAAGAATAAGAACAGGAAAAAATGAACATATACCTACACACAGACAAAATTCTTCACACCGTTTCAGAGTATTCACAGACCACCACTGCTACTGAGAGGTTCTTTTAGAACCCTTCAAATTTAATTTTAAAACAGAAGAAACATGTCAACAAACCTACAGAATTTTAAAGCCTTTAAGGAGTGAGTTAGCAAGAAGAGGATTAAAAACTGCTTTACATTCAACTTCAAGTAGGTTGTTGTTATTTTTAAATCAATATATATTACATTTAATCAATTAAAATCAATCCTGAAATGGTTTTTAAAAGCTAAAAGATATAGTTTGGTTTCCAGAGAACCAGTTAATTTATAAAATACTAACCTGCTATGAAAGTGTCTTTACAAAATCAATAACTTACATGCACATGGAGAGTTCTTTTTAAATACATTTTGAAAGTAGCTATTTACTGGTTTTCTCTAGGACCGTGGTCGGCAACTGCGGCTCACAAGCCACATGCGGCTCTTTGGCCCCTTGAGTGTGGCTCTTCCTAAGCCTTAGGAGTACCCTAATTAAGTTAATAATAATGTACCTACCTATATAGTTTAAGTTTAAAAAATTTGGCTCTCAAAAGAAATTTCAACCGTTGTACTGTTGATATTTGGCTCTGTTGACTAATGAGTTTGCCGAACTGCTATAGGACAAAGAAGTTTTAACATATGACTCACATTTATACCTGATTTATACTTAATACTACTCAGTCTCAGAATTTAATGAAAATTTGAGTAAATTACTTCCCAAAAGGAGAATATACAAAAGTACTACACATTCACTATCTTCTACATCTCCAAAAATAATTCATTTCAAAACTCAAAGAATCCACACATCAGAAACACACATTATTTCATGTATCATCTAATTATGTATCTAACTGATGATAGTATCACCAGATTTTAAAACTAAAACCTGTTAAAATATAATCAGTATCAATACATATTTCTTTCTTTCACCACTAATTAACACCAATGTAGTTTTACCTCATAATATACATATACTCATTTGTTTTCTTAATCTGTAAAAATCTAATTTGGATCCAAAAGATATTCTGCATAAAGGTCAAATTTGGGCCAGCCTGTATGCTGGAACAGTTCTCAGTCAAATGTCGACTTTTCCCCCTTAATGAAAACTGAACTACATGTTACAAATAAATGCAGTCATAAACTATATATCAGGAAGAGGACTGTTACCTCTACATATTTAATTACCTGAGTTAGGGAGACAATTAACTTCTCAATTATACATTATATATTTGAGTATAAGAAACAGAATTTCCTATAACACAACTATACAGCTACATAGCAGAAACCAGAATCTTCTCTATATATTTTACATATTCCCATCCATGATAAACATACCCCAAAAGAAAGCTTGCTTTTAAAAGATCATTAGACTCTGTTAAGCCATAACTCCATAAATCAGCATTTTAAATTTATATTGACTTTGGAACATGTTCTAAAATATCTCAAATTACCAATTATATCCCCTTTGTTTCCATGAGGACCTCACATCACCTGTGCTGAGAAACACATTCCAAAATTGGTGTCACTCAAGACACTTAAACAAAAAAATCTGAAAATAACACTAGTAGGAAAGAAACAACACACATTTCAAGGAACAATTTTAGACAAATCTTAATAAATAAAGCAATGTTAGGAAGGCTAAAAAACATGCTCTAGATAGAAACACAGAAAGCCTGAATTTTAATTTATGTGATACACTACACAATGGCATTAGTAAAACACTAAACAAGAGTGTTAGAAACAGCAAATTAATTTCAACAATGATGGTGTATATTATGTTAAGCCCATGTATGCTGAGAATTAGAAGGCGGAAGCATTAGAAAGAAATGTTTTTATTAAGCAAGATAGCCATCCAACCCAATTCATTTTCTCAGAGCTGGTCAAATTTACTTAACATAAAGTGAATACTGAATGGATATGAAAGCATGTTTCCAAATTTTAATTTAGTTCTGAATTTAAAACAGAAATTTATTATTATATGGAAAGCTTAAACACAGAATGAAAGATGAAACCAGATATATACTCTAAATTCTACCTTTTTAAGCTAATTACCTACATGGCTCCTAAAGGTTTCCTTTACCTATTTCTCTAGAATTATTAGATTATATGTACAAATATAGTGCCTGCTGGATAAGTCACACTGACAGATAATGGCAAATTTTAAATGAACGCATGTTGTATTTTGGACAAATTTCACTCATGGGAAGAAAATAATCTTGATTACCCTAATTTTCTTCCTTTTAAATTAGGCAAATTCATAGTAGCAGGAAGTATATTCATATCATGTTTGCAAAATGAGATATTTCTCTACAAATATAGACTCAATGAGTTTTCCTTAATATCAAAAGTAGTATGTTCTCAGTTCCAATACTTTAATAGTGATTTTCTCTAAGGTAAAAGTGGTTTTTAAGATTTTTATAGTCTAAGCACAAATATCTAAATTCTGGCTGGGATGGTCTAGATAAAAATATCAAAAGTAAAACTTAAAATTTAGCAACTTTTAGATAAATTCAGAAAGTGATACTTTCCCTCCACATACTTCTATCAATTAAAAAAAACTTTCATTTCTAGAAAAAGAAACCACTCACATCACTTCAAATAAGAAGCAAGAATGAAGAGAGTCAGCATTTCCTAAGGCCTTGAAATTAAGTTTCTTTTGCATTCATTTACAATTTTTAAAAATAACAATAATAAAATTAAACCAGAGATATCCAATGTAACAAATACCCCCAAAATACCTTTGGGATAAATCAAACCAAAGGAACACAGAGAATGTTTCAATGTAACTTAATTCCAGGGTTAATTGAAATGAAAGCTATTTTGTGCCAGAATTAGTAGAATGATTTTACAGTGGAGGTCAAATAGGCTGAAGTGAAGATGTTCTTAACAAACAGCAAAAGATTTTGGTTTTGCTTTGAAAGAAACAGCTAATAAAAAGTTCTCCAAACTTACTGATTTTTTGTTTTCCTTTTTTTCTTTTACTGTAGCTTTATTCAGTAGGGAGTGGCAAGTTGCCTACAGAACAGAGATGAGCACAAACAAGTCACAGCACCAACTACATACAGCAACAAAAACAATGTTGGCTTGTACATAAAATTACACGATCAATGTAACACAAATGGAATCAACAAAAAATTATAAATCAACTGAATTTAGAGGGATGAATTTTATTTCTGGATTTAAATTTTTAATACATTTTTAAGCCAAAGCACTAAATAAAGAGCAAGAAATGTTGAGATAATCATATCTACTATTTCTGGCTATAAATCACAGAAAAGCTCTCCCCAAGTGGATTTGAGGATATTTATATTTACATTTCAGTTAATTCCTAGCTTTTGATAAATTTTATAGGAAATGTTGATTACAAATAGATCACACAATTAAAACATGTCTACATGATTTTTTTTTTGATATAAAATACTTCTCTGTGTATCCTTCAATTGACTTAAAGTTCTTTTTTCAATAGCTGGCATTTAATTTAAAATCTACTGATTAAAAATAAACATTGAATGACTAAATATAATAGAAAAATTCACTTTAGAGATTCTGAATTTAAAAAATATCTCTCTCTTTAAGAAATATTACTCTTAAAATTTCACATATTTCTCTTTCTAGGCTACTTCCTAAAATAGTTCTAACCAGAGAAGGTTAAAAGCTCTGCAACATCTGGGAGAAGAATGTTATCAGCTCAACTAGAAATAAGCATTAATTAATATTAAAGTGAAGAAACTGCAGAGAAAATGATAGAATAAAATTGTAAGCCTACTTAAAACTTTTTACATATTTAACCATTTACCAGAAGGCCTTAAATAAACCCGAAAGAAAAAACCATCAAAACCCACAGAGACATATTGGTTTAATCTCTCAAAGCTTCTACTAGGTCTGTGGTCGGCAAACTGCAGCTCGCGAGCCACATGCGGCTCTTTAGCCCCTTGAGTGTGGCTCTTCCTAAGCCTTAGGAGTACCCTAATTAAGTTAGTAACAATGTACCTACCTATATAGTTTAAGTTTAAAAAATTTGGCTCTCAAAAGAAATTTCTTTTTTTTAAAAAAAATGTATTTTATTGATTTTTTACAGAGAGGAAGGGACAGGGATAGAGAGCCAGAAACATCGATGAGAGAGAAACATCGACCAGCCGCCTCCTGCACATCTCCCACTGGGGATGTGCCCGAAACCAAGGCACATGCCCTTGACCGGAACCGAACCCGGGACCCTTCAGTCCGCAGGCCAACACTCTATCCACTGAGCCAAACTGGTTTGGCTCAAAAGAAATTTCAATCGTTGTACTGTTGATATTTGGCTCTGTTAACTAATGAGTTTGCCGACCACTGTACTAGGTCAAAGAGTTATTTTTAAATTAAAATACTCCTGATTGGACTAGACCAGGCACAACAATTACTTTAAAAATATTTTAAAAACCAAATTAGAATTATGTAATCCACCATACATGGCATTTTATTCTAAAAATTCGGAGCATTCAATACCATAACCCATAATAACTTAGGCTTTAAGTTAGTTTGACATTTGCTCATCCATCTGTACATACATCCACCCAAATAGTTGTGCATCTACATGCTAGATACCATTCTAGGCATTGGGAGGCAGCAGTAAAATAAGAAGACACCGTCCTTTTCTTATGGAGCTTTGGTACATACAAACCTTAGACTACCTACAAAGGCAATAGTAACTAAATATATAATAAAAAATGCAATTTTATATACTTTTTAAAATTATGGTATGTAACTATCATTTATTGCGTTAAAAATCTGTGTAAACTACTTCTGTTTGGAGGAGCAGATTTACTGAGAAAAGATAATATTTATTTAGAATTATAATATTTAGCTCTTTCTCAGAATGTTCTCACCATAATTTAAGAATATCTATTCTGGAAATTATTTTCTCATTATTCCAAAACTATCAGGAAGAAAAGTGTAAATAAATACACAAGAAAATTAATTATAAATCTACACTGTTCACAGTTATCTGGCTCTTCTTATGTAACCTTAACCCAGTCTACTAAGGAAGAAAGCATATAAAATAAGAGATCTAGTTAAAGCATGACTTGGAAAACGCTTAACGGTCAAAAATATGAACTTAAGTAAAAAGAGTGAAAGCTCAGAGAAGTTTATTAGCTAGCAATAATTCTCACTTAGCTTTCAAAATTTCCCCAGTAGGTCCCAAAGCAGGAACCATGTTTATTAGAGGGGAAAAAAACCAACAAAAAACAATCGACTACTATTCCTCCCAACAGACCATAAAAGTACAAAGATACCATTATGTTACTGCCAAAGTCAAAAGGGCAGGAAAAAGCCAAGAGGGAAGATGAATAAAAGTAAAAGAGCAAACTAAGGGGAAAACTACATTTGGAAGGAGATTCAATGGAAGAATATCTTAAGATCAAAGCTTTTATTCCTATCTTCACTTTTAACTAATAAATGTAAATTATCTGTTACCAGTCACTTTTAAAAAGCAACTTATTTATAAATAACATAGTATACCTTTGCTCCATAGCACTCTATATTCCAACAAGTATACCCAATACTTCAAAAAATTCACTGACACAACATTTAAATAGTATTCTTAAAGAGAATAATTTTATGTGCAATTTAAATATGGTAACTCAGGTCTATTATAACACAGGGTATTTTATTATGGACTGCTTTAAAAAACACAACACATAGTGTTTAATAAGCTACCAATAGTGTTTAATAAGCTACCTGCCTCTATTTTCTGAATTATTTTCACTATTATCCTTCCTTGCTAACTATGAAAGCTACCTAGAATCTTGCTTACGTGGGTGAGAGGAATCAGGGAATCTGTTCCTCCACTAAATATTTCCTAAGGGCTTACTAAGTGCTAAGCCCTGTTCCTTTCACCTTATCAGAAGCATGGTCTTAAACTGGACTCCAAGTTTGCTGATGATACAAAAAGCATGTTTTCTTTTAGGATGACGACTACATGAAGAATGTGCACTGAAATCTACTAGAACATGTAATCAGATAGGTAGTCAATATTCTCAACTAGCAAAAGTCAAAGTCACTGCAACTTTAGAAATTCATTTGCTCTCTGAAAAGAGTTACTACTAGGCCAACAAGAAGCTGACCCAGACTATTTTTTATATGTGTGCCCTATGTCTTATCTGTTTTTCAAACAGAATTACTGAATTAGATTTAAAGCTAAATCTGAATAATGCCCAAGAGAGGCTATTATTCACTGATTAAGCAGTATTCTTGTCATAACTAATCCTCACTCTATTCTGAGATTTAACTATCTGAAAAAATTATGTGGGATTCTCCTAAGCTTCCTTGAGCTATTTTGAAAAGGCAGAAAAAGTCACGATAAGTTGAGAGTTTTAATGTTAAGTATGCTTTACCATCTATAATAATAAAAGTGTCGAGAACCAAGATGGCGGCATAGGTTAACGCTGGAGTTTGCTGCTTTGAACAACTACTTCAAAAGTGAAACCAAAAAACGGAAGGGACATCACCCAGAACCACAGGAACGCTGCCTGAGTGGAAGTCCTACAACTAGGAGGAAAGAGAAACGCATACGGACACTCAGAGGAGGCGCAGTGCTGAAGTCAAATTCTGAGGTGCGGAGTGCGCGGAGCGGGCTGGCGGCGGAGGGCGCGGTTGGCGTTTTCAATCGGGAGGGAGTCGAAGACTCTGAGCTCCAGATCCGGGCGAGTCTTTAGGGACCCAGACTCAAACGGGAGAAGCGGGACTGTCTGGCTTCGGTCAGAGCGAGTGCAGCTTTCTCTCTGAGCTTTGCAGCGGGTGCTGGGACTCAGAGAGGCAGAGCCCCTGGGGACAGGACTGAGAGCCGCCATAACTGCTCTCTCCGGCCCACCCTGTTGATCCTGTGCGACCCGCCCCGCCCAAGCCCTGCACACAGGCATTTGCCGGATAGCCTCAGGCAAACGTCAGATTAGCACCTCCCTAGAGGACAGAAGTTCTCTCACTGCTGACACAGCTGATTCTCATAGCCACTTGGCCTGGAGGTCAAACCCTCCCTGGAATTAGCTACAACAATCAAGATTTAACTATAAGACTGTGAACAAAGACCACTAGGGGGTGCACCAAGGAAGCATAACAAAATGCGGAGACAAAGAAACAGGACAAAATTGTCAATGGAAGATATAGAGTTCAGAACCACACTTTTAAGGTCTCTCAAGAACTGTTTAGAAGCCGTCGATAAACTTAATGAGATCTACAAGAAAACTAATAAGACCCTCGATCTTATATTGGGGAACCAACTAGAAATTAAGCATACACGGACTGAAATAACGAATATTATACAGACTCCCGACAGCAGACCAGAGGAGCGCAAGAATCAAGTCAATGATTTGAAATGCGAGGAAGCAAAAAACACCCAACCGGAAAAGCAAAATGAAAAAAGAATCCAAAAATGCGAGGATAGTGTAAGGAGCCTCTGGGACAGCTTCAAGCGTACCAACATCAGAATTATAGGGGTGCCAGAAGATGAGAGAGAGCAAGATATTGAAAACCTATTTGAAGAAATAATGACAGAAAACTTCCCCCACCTGGTGAAAGAAATGGACTTACAGGTCCAAGAAGCGCGGAGAACCCCAAACAAAAGGAATCCAAAGAGGACCACACCAAGACACATCATAATTAAAATGCCAAGAGCAAAAGATAAAGAGAGAATCTTAAAAACAGCAAGAGAAAGAAACTCAGTTACCTACAAGGGAATACCCATACGACTGTCAGCTGATTTCTCAACAGAAACTTTGCAGGCCAGAAGGGAGTGGCAAGAAATATTCAAAGTGATGAATACCAAGAACCTACAACCAAGATTACTTTATCCAGCAAAGCTATCATTTAGAATTGAAGGTCAGATAAAGAGCTTCACAGATAAGGAAAAGCTAAAGGAGTTCATCACCACCAAACCAGGATTATATGAAATGCTGAAAGGTATCCTTTAAGAAGGGGAAGAGGAAGAAAAAGGTAAAGATACAAATTATGAACAACAAATATGCATCTATCAACAAGTG